CGGAGGAGTCTGCCTACGCCGCAACGCTCGGAGGTACGCTTTCACCTCCTCCTTGCACGTTGCCTCCAGCAACTGCAAGGACGATAACCGGTCCACACCATCATCGTCATCCGATGAACGGTGCGACCGATTCCCTTCGTCTTCCGACAAAGAGGACGACGACGACGGAGACGGCGACGACGGGCCGGTGGGGGACGCTAGGACGTGTTAGTCGTCGTCCTCCCCTTCGGGCTCGAAGTCGACGAGCTGCTGTTGGTCCCCCTCCTCTTCCTGGAAGTGGACCTCTTGTTTTTTTCTCGATTTTTTCTTGTTCCCCATGATGGCCACTCCTGCAAGGTAGTGCCACCACCGAACAAAGAACTCAACAAACACACGTAACGCCGCTGACGCCACTATGAGACTGTTGTCTCCAGGTTCGCGTGTGAGCAAGTTCCCTTAGGGATGGGCGGTGTGGATACACACCGGATCAACCTCTGGTGGAGAGGCTGATGTACGGAACGTTGAGTCGAGTCTGTGTGAGTGAGGCAGGTGGGGATCAACCTTGTGTTGAAGCAAGGTTCAGCATCCAACCTGCACTGACTCTATCTGTGGTAACACCCCGAAGGTAGATCTCCGACAGGTCATCTGACGTCACAATCTACGACGGTCTGAGGTGGCATTCACACAGGTGTCCTCCACATCACCCCCCCCCTCTATGCGTCACAAGTCTATCTGTGCGAAAGATGTGCTTTTGGCGTTCAGAGACATGAGTGGCTCATGGAGACGCCTGTATCGGAAATAACCTACATCCATTGTGCAACGCCATCGACTGCATCTGATGATCGTACAGCGCGTGTTGAGAAACACGGGGAGGAGTCTTCAGACGGTCGATGAATGTGGTCCATACTAGTTTAGTCTAGAAAATGGTGGGAACTGGGCTATCATGATGACAGCTAGGGAACTAGAAAAAATTCCCATGGTCATGATCGCGTGACATGCCATGTGTGGGGTTGATGTGGGGTAGACTTGTAATGAGGTGAACCTCTGGCAAGTCTGCCTACGCATCATAATTAAGATCTTGGAATAACGGTGGCTAAAAAAATTATCCTCCTCGCCAGGGTTTCCCCAAACACTGATAGAATAGGTTGTTTCCAATGGACACAACCTACCACCGTGGCTACCGGTCCTGTGTTAGTGATGGACACAGGATAATAGTAGCAGAAAAATATCCCAGGTCCAAAAGTAGAAATGCTAGCTGTTAGAGATGATCGAAAT